TTTGTACTTCTCTCATAATACTTCTCACACTGTTTTATATTGTGTAATTCCCACTAAATTATATCCTCCTATATTCTCCACAAGAGCAAGAACTCTGTCTGGCTTAGTTACTACTGTATTTCAATTTCCCAGAGGCAGCCATTTTCAACTTTTCTGGATGTTCCTTTGAGTATGTTGAAACTTCTAAACAATATGTTTATAGTGAATTAAATTTTTATTTTCTATTGAGACAATATCAATTGACTCCTAATATGGTCAATGAGTATTTGTCTTTCTTATATGACCACATGCACACATTTTACAATCCTCACGAACTAAATAACAGTTTCACAATATTTAAATTAACATTTGGAGTTTACGTTATTATGCTATGTAAGTATTCCTTCCAGTTGAGCCACATGGTGCAATGTAATTACATTCCCTTCCTGCACAACTGTTTATTGTCCTCAAGTTAATAATCACTTTGTTTTTTATTAGTTGTCTATATACCTATTATTAATTCTTCTCCCAAATTCTATTGGTCATACACATAGAAATCAGTTTCTTCTTTTTCCTTTGAAATCCCTTCGTCATCTTACTCCAGTCTAGACTGATTGTTTTGTATGCTTACTGTACTTACATTGTCCTGAGAATTCTTTCTCCACTTTTCTCTGTTATATAACCTTATTTCTGTATCTTCCTCTTTCTTGGCCTATTCCCTCATTTTAGTAGAGAACATACTAGTTTCCTAAAAGAAGATGCATGGGAGGTAAAAATGTTGAGACCTTGTATTTCTTGATTTTATTTTCATACTTGCTGATAGTTTAGATGGGAATTAAATTCTAACGCGGTACATATGCCACCTGTTTCCTCATCCTTCATTTGTTCCCAGTCAACAGTCCTGAAAAGTCTCACATTTACTTTTTCAGGGGTGTATAAATTATCCAAACCAATGATCTATACCTGGTTCTCATTCCCTTTAATCTTTTGAAATTCTCACTTCCCCTAACTTCCCAAGCTTCCTGTTGCTCTACCTATTCCAACAGCAAACTTGGAGAGTCAGGGGAAGTGAGAATTTCAAGACGTTGAGGGGAATGACGACTAAGAATCATAACAAATTATGGATACCATTGTGAAGAATGGGAATTCCAGAACACATAATTGTGCTCATGTGGAACCTGTACGCAGATCAAGAGGCAGTCGTTTGAACAGAATAAGGGGATATTACGTGGTTTAAAATCAGGAAATGTGTGCTTCAGGGTTGTATTGTTTCACCGTACTTATTCAATCTGTATGCTGAGCAAGTTAATCCGAGAGACTGGACTATACGAAGAAGAATGTAGCATCAGGATTGGAGGAAGACTCATTAACAACCTGCAACATGCAGATGACACAATCTTTCTTGCTGAAAGTGAAGTAGACTTGAAACACTTACTGATGAAGATCAAAGACTACAGTCTTCAGGATGAATTACACCTCAACATAAAGAAAATAAAAATCCTCACAACTGGATCAATAAGCAACATCATGATAAACAGAGAAAATACTGAAGTTGTAAATGATTGCATTTTACTTGGATCCAAAATCAACACCCATGGAAACAGCAGTCAAGAAATCAAATGACGTATTACATTGGACAAATATGCTGCAAAAGTCCTCTTTAAAGTGTTAAAAGCAAAGATGTCACTTTGAAGACTAAGGTGCGACTGACCCAAGCCAGGATATTTTCAATCACCTTGTCTGTATGCACAAGCTGAACAATGAATAAGGAGGACCGAAGAACTGACGCCTTTGAATTACGGTGTTGGTGAAGAAATATACCATGGACTGCCAGAAGAATAAAACAAATCTGTTTTGGAAGAAGTACAGCCAGAGTGGTCCTTGGAAGTGAGGATGGCAAACTTTTCTGGAGTCATGGAGGGTGGATGAACTCCTGAAACTATTGCCTTGAAATAATCTTTAAACCTTCAACCAAAAATATCCCCTGAAGTATTCTTAAAACCAAACAATAATGTAGCTTAACTAGTGAAAAAGGCCTGCCTTGAATATTACGCTCTTTTAAGAACTATCTATATGGGATTGACAACAACAACTCAAAAGGTTAGAAAGGAACCTTAGGGAGGCAATGAGTTTATGTTAATGAGGGAGGAACAACTCAGAAAAGGTGGGTGAGAATGGTTGCACAATTCAAACAATGTAATCAATGTCGCTAAATTTTACAGGTAGAAACTGTTGAATTGGTATATGTTTTGCTGTGTATATTCTCCACAACAACAAAATAAATAAAATTTGAGAGGAAAAAATAACTTGACCTGAACTAATATGTGGCTATTTACAGTCTATTATTCATTCCTCTTAGTATGACTACTTATATATTTTGCTGCAGAATAATAAATGTATTTGATTATAAGGTTTTTGCATAGAAACTGCTGGGGTGTTACATAATATATGGTATATGCATTAGATTACTTTTCAAAATCTGAAAAAATTCTAAATTCAGAAAAACATCTGGTAGGGGTTTCAGGTAAGTGTTTGAACCAGTACTACTATTATCCTCATTTCACAGCTGAGGAAATTGTGACACAGAAGTTAAGTCACTTGCTTAAGGTCACATAGTTAACAAAAAGAATTATCTATGTGGTTAATAATATTGTGGGTACTTATTGTGCCAGTAACTTGGTTAAATATTTTATATGCATCGTCTATGTACAACTCTGTGAGGCACGATTATTATCCCCATTTCTCAGATGAATAAATTGAAGCTTATAGACGTTATGCAACTCCCCTGGACACACAGCTGTTAAGTGGTATGAGACAGAATTTAAAAACAGGTCAGTCCAACACTAATATATTTGATTATTACAAGATCACTTACAAATCTATACCCAGTCCTTTCCTCTTTTCTAAATACCATTTAAAATGGTGTATCTAATTAATAAAAAGTAATATTTTAAAAGTGTAAATCAGATCATTTGATGCTCATGCTTAAAACCCTGCTATGATTTCTACTGCATCTAGGATAAAATCCAAACTCCTTACGATGGCGCCTTTCTGCCTCTCCCATCTTGTCTCCCCAGCACAGCAGCTTTCTCTTAGGCCTTTGTGCTAGTCGTATTCCCTACCTGGAAGGCTCCCAGATCTTCACACAGATGGCTCCCTTTTGTCATTGAGGGCTCAGCTTAATCACCTCCTCAGTTTTTCACTGATTGCCTAAGCCAGAATAGGTCCCTAATCGCCTTCTCCATCTCATCATTCTATTTTACACAGCACTTAAACACGTATTTGCTTATCTGTTTACTTTCTTTTTCCTTCTATTAGTATGTAAGCTAAACCAGATAGGACACTTTGTCTCTTTTGATCCCTTCTGAAGTCCCAATCTCTAGTACAGAGTTTACCTTGTGATGGTAGGTGCTTAATTTTGGCTGGATAAATGAATGTAGTCCACACCCAGTAAATAGAACCTACTTGTTTGTTTGTTCGAATGGTGGGAGATTAACTGGGAAAGCCAGTGAAGGCAGGGAGACACCAATTGCTAAGTATCTTTAACAAGGTACTTAAACATCAGCTTAATCGGATTTTGTCTAACAGTATTAGTATACTAGTACACTAGCTCCAGTTCAAAACCCCGCTGACAATTTGCATTTCTAACAAGTTCCCAGGCGATGCTAATGTTGCTGGTTAGAGACCAATTCTGAGAAGCATTAGTAGGGCAGTGGGTCTCAAAATTTATTATACATAAGAATCACCAGGCGCTCTTGTTAAAATGTAGATTCTGATTCAGTACATCTGGGGTGGAAACGCAAATTCTCAGCAGGAGGTGGAACCTGAACGAACTGGTTCTAGGCCCTGGTATAAACAGCGCCTAGCAGAGTGTCTGACACAGAGCAGGTGCCAAATAAATATGTTGAACCAGTGAACAATGAATATTACTAGCTTGGATCTTGGGCAAATTGCTTAACCTTTTTGAGCTTACTCACCTATAAAGTGAAGATTAAAACTTACTTTACAAGGTTGGCCTACAAGTTATATGAGATAATGCATACCAAATGCCTAGCGCATAGCAGGTACTTAAGTTAGTTTTTTTCCCCTTGTATTTATACACTACTTTATAGTTTACAAACTCTTTTAAGTTCTTCTAGATACATGACCTCGTTTTATTCCCACAACAACCTTCTATGGTACTTCTCACTAGCCTCATTTCATCTTATAGATGAGAAAACAGACTCAGAGGCTGAGACACAGCCTCTTCAGGTAACGAGAAGCCAATGCACGTTTATCAGCAGAGGAGTGACGTGATAAAAGCAATAGTTTTTGAAGATTAATCTTTTGGTGGCTTATAGAATGCACTGGATTGAAGCTGGAAAAATGTTACTTTGACCCCTATCATAAAAATCAAGTTTGAGGTGGTAAGGGCCTGCCCTACTGACAGACGAATGTTCAAAGAATAATGAACTTCAACCATTGAACAGACAGCTAAGTGGACAAAAAAAGGTGGCTGAGTTTTCAATCTGGTTGAGAAAGTGATGGTACGAACAACATAAATAATTTTTAACAAGTCAAACTTGACAAAATTGTTGGCAGAAGACCTTCCCTCCAATATCTCCATTGCCAGAACTTCTGGAAAATGTGGCAAACATTTTTTAACCGCCGTTGCAGATCTTTCTTGATTTCACTCCCCCACCCGACTGGCATCACCATCTGGACTAAAGTCCTTCTAATGCTGCTATCTCTGGAGGCTGCCTGGTGTGATGAGTTTCAAGGCAGCATGGAATTAGAAACCAAGGTTTTGAACTTCCAGAACCTTGGCTAAATCGCCTCTTTCCCTCTCTGGAAATAAGGAGACCCTTATTTCTCCTCTCTGCTTTCTTGTAAGGCTACTGACCCGCTCCAGATGAGCACAAAGAGCTTTCTCTTTCCGCGCGCCGCTAAACAGAAAGTACTCGCGCTCCTTTAGAGTAGCGCCGGAGCGGAGCCCCTCGCGGCGGGCTGACGACACTTCCGGCGCGCTGACGCTCAGGCCGGCGTGCCGACGCCTGCGTCAGCAAAGAGCGGGGTTGGGGGCACCCGGTTTGAAGTCGTGCGGGTCGGAGACTGCCTGCGTCGCTGTCTCGGACCCCTGCTCCCCGGCCGTGGCGGGGACGAGCTCGGGTAGGCGGCCGAGCAGATGCCCGAAGGCCCGAGTCGCGACGCCCTCCGCCTCACCGGCCGCTCCCCTGTGCTCCGGGGCCTGGGCCTGCGCGGCTCTGCTCTCTGGAAACTAGCGCCTCAGCCGCGCGTCGCGTATCTCTTGGGGAGCCCCGAACTGGCGGCGCCCGGACATGGCGGTTTCCAGGTGGGTCTTCTGGCGCCTGACGAGCTGACGGGAAGGCAGCCCAGGCGAGGCACAGTGTCCTCTCAGCACCCCCACTCCTAGAAAGGAGCGGTTCCCATTGTCACTGGGCTCGGGCGCCTCATTCCTCAGACTTCAGAGTTCGCTTCTTGGTCTGCCGGGGTTTTTGGGCTCGGGTTACTCCTCATAAATCGGCTTAAGAATGTCTTTCTTTTTAGATACCTTTTTGGCACGTTCGAGTTGGTTTTTCTCATTCCCCGACTTGTTTTTTCTTCTTTCAGTTTTAGGAGAGTGAGTCTCTTCTTAAACCTTTCTCGGTATACTAAGGATAATTCCTAACCTCCATTTCACGGGAAAATTTGGGTACTAACTGTCGAAGTAGGGGAGACTTGAACGACTATTATCAACTGGCCTTCTAGTTATATTACTTTTTGAAAAAATTATAGCTTAAATAATATTTTTTCTTTACTACATTACGGTGTAATTCTTTCGTTTAGCAGTAAACTTTCAGTCTCCAGCATTGTAATCTTAAATTTCTTGTGTTACCACCATTTAGCTAAGGCTTGAAAGAAATATTACAAGACTTAAATTATTTTAAAATATTGCCCATAAACAGGAAAGTCTAGGAAAATTACAGAAAAACCAAGAAGACTTTTCTATTTATAGCTATAGGAGGAAAGTTCTTTCCGCCTAGATAACAGAATGGTTGAAAAAGTCGGAAAAACATTTTGTCAGAGGTTTCGTTTTGGTGACCGTATGTACATGTAAGTAGGGAGTAGTCCCTCAGTGATAGTGATCAGAAGGACTCACCAAGTTCTTTAGAGTTGATGAGGTGAGTTTTTATGAGAATTGTGTCCTTCTGCCACAGACTAAGGAGTCCTGGTGGCACAGTCGTTAAGCGCTTGGCTGCTAACCAGAAGGTTGCCACTTCTAACCCACCACCCGCTCCGCGGGAGAAAGATGTGGCAGCCTCCTTCCGTAAAGATTACAGCCTTGGAAACTATGGGGCAGTTCTGCTGCGTCCGGTAGGATCGTTATGAGTCGGAACGGACTCGATGGCAACGGGTTACCACATAGACTAAAGGAAAGAGTGATAGCTCACAAAACAAAAAGTTTTTACTCATTTTTCATAATTAAATTCCCTTGAGCACAATATGTACTCAAGCTTTATCTGTTTTGCAAGGGAAAGCATAAGCTATCCCTCACAAAATCCCCAGATAACTGATGAAATAGTGTGTAGGAGAAGCCCACGGGGGTTGGGTGAAGGGGGTTGCTAGGTACCTGTAGTATGAGGCATCTAATTTTTATTTCATAGGTTAATTAAATCCATTCAGTGTGAAGCACCTCTTATTTCATGATGTATAAAACTGCCTTGAGAGTATACAACTGGTATTTTCAATTTTTGCAAATACAGAAAGGTGTACCTTTTCATTTGTTACCTCATATAAATACATAAATATATTATAAATACATTGATACATAAATTTGGTATTAGATTTATCAGAAGATTACAGCGTTTAACGGGATGAGTAGCTCTTGAAATTCCTTTCTTAGAACAGACTGTATATTTTCACAGTATTGGATGTAGTTTTAACAGACACAGAATGAAGATGTTTGAAAAGAGCCTAACCTGCTTTGGAGGAGTCCTAGTGGCGCAGTGGTTAAAGTGCTCTGTGGCTAACCAAAAGGTTGGCAGTTCCACTCACCAGCCGCGCTGTTTCTGTAAAGATTTACAGCCTTGGAAACCCTATGGGGCAGTTCTACTCTGTCCTGGCAAATGATCATCTATTTGTAGAAGTGTAGGACACCTAATATTTCTGAATGAATGATAGAATTTTGAAGACTACTGTCTTTTGTTCTCAACATTGGGTTTTGAAAGGTACTGCTCTTGTTCTGTAGATTCTTATTCACTTTGTCAAAATTCTGTTAAATTATGCATAAAAAAAAGACTGTCATGTTCTTGTGTTTGGTAATACAGTACGTTCAAGGAAAACACTTTTGAGACATATTATGTGTTTTTGATAAAGTAGTTCTTGACGTTTTCATCTGTAGATTCACTTTGAATGGCTAACTTTCCTTTTAAGCCGACCTTCTCTGTACACTTTCATTTCAAGCTGACTTTCTTCATACAATTATGTATGACCTTCTCCATACATAAGCATGTTTCGCCACAGGTAAGCTTAACTTTCTTTCTCTCGTGTTGGTGTAAGTTTGTGGAATACTGACTCATTTTGATACAGTTTTGTGCAAAATAAGTGGAAAGTAGTTCGAGAGGTAAAAATCATATTTACCAAAATCAAACCTAAAATATTTTTGCACTGTTTATATCAGGAAACCCTGGTGGTGTAGCGGTTGAGAGCTACAGCTGCTAACCTAAGGGTCGACAGTTCAGATCCACCAGGTGCTCCTTGGAAACTGTATGGGGCAGTTCTACTCTGTCTTATAGGGTCGCTGTGATTCAGAATTGACTCGACAGCAATCAGTTTTTTTGTTTGTTTGTTTATATCAATGTGCATAATTGGAAAGAAACTGTAATATTTTTAGGACCTAGTAAACATTTCCAACGGAAGGGAAATAGTGAATTGGTACCATCATTTCCTCAATTGCCAGATCCAGAAACCTGGGAATAATTTTTAACTTCTCCATCTTGCCTCTCTCCCGATCTAGTCAGTCACCAAATCCAGTCTTGTTAATTATACTTTTAAAATCTTTCTCCAGTCCATCTTTTGTCTTTCCATACCAGTTACCACAGTCTTACTCCGGGCCACCATCATCTCTAGTCCAGACACCTGCAGTAGCAGCCCCTCTGCTCTTCCTGCCTCATTCCAATTTATTCTTCACTTCAGCCAGAATGAGCTGTCTTATATGCATATTTTAACGTGATCACTTTTCTGCTTAAAATTCTTTAGTTGTTTCCTGTTGCCTTGGGATAAAATCCAAATTTCTTATTATATCTTAACAGCCCCTTTGTGATCTGATTCCTGCTTCACCTTTTTAACCTTATCTTGTGTCTGATTCTCTGTAACACACTCACACCCCCCCCCCCTTAGTGAATCTGTGTTCTCACTTCCAAGCCTATATGTCACTTTGTTTGGGAAGCGTTCTCTGCTCTGGTTTTACTTTATCTGAATTATTTGCACCAGTGTGTACTCCTGTCAGTCATAGTATTTATCACAGTTTTTAGTTGATTGTTTAATTGTGTATCTCCCCTGCTGGATTAACATAAACTCTGTAAGAGAAGGATATGTGTCTTTGATCTTTCTATCTCCAGCAGAGTGCCTGCATCCTAGTTAGGTGCTCAGTACATTTTTTTTTTTTAAAAGGAGTAAGTGAGTGATTTTGCTAATAGTTTTGCTTGCTCTAATACCTGTTGTGATTTACCATACTTTATATATTGTAGAATATTTTCAGTGTTCCTCAGTGCGTGCTTCTGAGCTTAGCTAGTTTTTCCTCAGGAAGAAAAACTTTCACTATAGCTTTGAATATTGGCCAAGGTTATAATAAAAAAAAAGTACAGAACCATTTTTTAAGTTTATAATATAGTACAATTCTCTTTTAACATGAACTTTCATAACACGTGTTAGATATAATATAACCCTGCAGTTTGTGTGATCACATGTTTTAGACCCCCCGTTAGAGCTTAATAAAGGCTAGGTTTTACTCTAAATCTTAAGAATGTGGCAAATTCTGAAATGTACCATCAACTCTCAATTGTGGATGAACTCAATCTTCTAAATAACTTTGTGACTCTCTAAAATTGCAATTAAAATCATAGCATTTAATATTTTCCATGAAATATCACTGAAAAAAATGTATGACTCCTTTAGACTTTTAAGAGAGACTATACAGATGTAGGAGTAGAGAACTATGTTGCCCTTAAAATGTGGATGCTGGAAAGTCAGCTCAGCTCACTTACTAGCCACTTGACTTGCTCCCTCAAAACCAACTTCAGCAAAAAAGACAAGTTAGTATATGTTACAGGCTTTCAAGAAGCCCTGGTGGCATACTGGTTAAGCTCTCAGCTGCAAACTGAAAGGTTGGAGGTTCGAACCCACGGGTGACTCTGCATGAGCAAGATGTGGCATTCTGTTTCCATAAAGATTACAGCATAGGAAACACTATGGGCCAGTTCTACTCTGCATGTAGTGTTGCTAGGAGTCAGAATCGACTCAGTGGCACACAACAACAGGCTTTCAGTTCAGTTACTTGCGAATAATTGAGATTATAATTGTTAAATATTTGAATATTATTATTTTGTTTTGTGAGCTTTTCTCTTACTATATTATCTGTTACCTAGTTGGACTACCAACAGTAAAGGCAACCTCTAAGGGCTAAGTCTTATGCTCCTTATAGAAAATGGTGAATCTGTGACTGACTGTGTTGCGTTCCAGGCCTAATATAGGTCTTTTATTGTTGTTGTTTGTTTTAAGATTGTTTTTGATACACTTGCTTGTTTATGCCACAGTTAATTGAGTTGACAGTTTTACATTGGTTGACTAATATGAGGAAACCCTAGTGGCGTAGTGGTTAAGAGTTCATCTGCTAACCGAAAGGTCGGCTGTTTGAATTGACCAGGCACTCCTTGGAAACCCTATGGGGCAGTTCTCCTCTGTCCTGTAGGGTCACTATGAGTTGGAATTGACTTAATGGCAGCCAGTTTGGTCTTGGTTTTAACTAATATGAAAATAGTTTTTCCTTGATCATATGTTATAGAGAAAATTTCAAAAATATGATTTAGAGTTCTTTTCTCATTGATCTATATGAAGGTCCTGTCTAAAATTTGTTGTTGTTGTTAATTGCCGTCAAGTCGACTCCAGCTCATGACAACCCCACACACAATAGAATGAAACCTTGCCCGATCCTGCGCAATCTTCATGATTGTTGGTACGCTTGAGTCCATTGTTGTGGCCACTGCGTATTTTGAATGCCTTCCAACCTTTGTGGCTCATCATCCAGCTCTAGATCGGTTCTGTTAATGATTCATAGGGTTTTCATTGGCTAAT